CATTAAAGACCCCCTAAAACTAATGCGATAATATAAAATTAAAATATAAAATTAAAAAATAAAATTCCTCTAACAATAAAATTAATGAGTTTTGCCTTAAAACAAGCAAATTAATCTGCCAATGGGGGCAGTGGAATAATCTTGCTTCAGGTTTGAAATAAGTTTACACTGCTTAACCCAATGGCAGATTATTGAACATATTATAAGTCAAAACTTATTTAAATTTGACTTATTTCTTTGACTTATTTTCCCTAAAGACCTCCTAATACAAACAAATAATTGCAATAAAGCCTCTAATAATTAAGTGAGTTTCTCTTTAAGACAAGCTAAATAATTTGCCATAAGTTTTCATTGCTTACCCCACTGGCAGATTATTTACCATGTTTTAAGTAAAAAAATCACTTATATTTAACTTATTTGTTTGACTTATTTCCCCCCAAAAACCTAAAACATGTTTATTTCTGCATGAGAGGCCTTTAAAAAGTCAAAATTAAGTGAGTTGCTCTTTAAAACAAGCTAAATAATCTGCCAATGGGGGGAGCAGAATAATCTTCCTGTCGTATAAGTTTACATTGCTTAAAACATTAGATAATCTGTCATTGTTGTAAGTCAAAACTTATTTAAATTTGACTTATTTTCCCTAAAGACGTAAATATATTGCAATAAGGCCTCTAATAATTAAGTAAAATTCTGTAAGTTTTGCCTTAACACAAGCTAAATAATCTGCCAACAGGGGAAGTAGAATAATCTTGCTTTCGTATGTTTACATTGTTTACCCCACTGGCAGATTATTTAACCTGTTTTAGAAAAAATAAATAAAATAATAAAATAAAAAAATCATTTATATTTGACTTATTTGTTTGTTATTTCTCTAAAAAAAAACTAAAACATATAAAAAAAATGGTAAAACATGCTTATTTCTGCATTAGAGGACTTTAAAAAGTCAAATGAAGTGAGTTTCTCCTTAAAACAAGTTAAATAATCTGCCACTGGGGGAAGCTAAGTAAACTTATTTTTTATTTGATATACATTCACATTGCTTACCCACTGGCAGATTATCTAATGTTTTAAGTCAAAACTTATTTAAATTTGACCTATTTTTTTATTTATTTTCCCTAAAGACCTCTTAAACATAAAAATATTGCAATAAGGCCTTTAATAATTAAGTAAAATTAAGTAAGTTTCTCTTTAACACAAGCTAAATAATCTGCCCATGGGGGATGCAGAATATTCTTGCTTTAGGTTTGAAAAAAATTCACATTGCTTAACCCAAAAGCGGATTATTTAACATCTTTTAAGTAAAAAAATCACCTAAATTTGACATTAAAGACCTCCTAAACTAATGTGATAAGTCTTCTAACAATAAAATCAAAATTAAGTGGGTTTTGCCTTAAAACAAGCAAAATACTCAGCCAATGGGGGCAGTGGAATAATCTTGCTTCAGGTTTGAAATAAGTTTACACCGCTTAACCCAATGGCAGATTATTGAACATGTTTTAAATAAAAAATCCCTTGAATTTCAGTTATTTGCTTTACTTATTTCCCCAAATCATGTTTATTTCTGCATTAAAGGTCTTTAAAAGGTCAAAATTAAGTGAGTTTCTCTTTAACACAAGTTAAATAATCTGCCAATTAGGCCAAGTAAATTTATGTTTGGTTTGAAATGTTCACATTGCTTACCCCAATAGCAGATTATTTAGCATGTTTTAAATGAAAACTCCTTTAAATTGAACTTATTTTTTAGCTTATTTTCCTTAAAGACCTCTTATATAAGGCCTCTATCAATTAAGCTGAAATTGAGTGAGTTTTGCCTTAACACAAGCTAAATAATCTGCCAATGAAGATGTGAAATAATCTGAACTAATCTGCCAATGGAGTAAGCAATGTAAACTTATTTAACATGTTTTAAGTTTAAAATTCATTTTTTTTTTTACTTATTTTCCTAGAAAAGTAAAATATGCAAAACATGTAATGTAATGTGTATTTAAATTGAAATTTAAGCGAGTTTCTCCTTTAAAACAAGCTAAATAATCTGCCGATGGGGTAAGCTAAATAAACTTATTTCTGGCATGGAATACATTTACATTTCTTACCAAATTGTCAGATTATTTAACTAATTTTAAGGCAAATATTTTCGATATTTGGACTTGAAACAAGACTAAACCCCTCATTATTCCTCTGCAGTGTGCGTGTTTGCAGTCGCCGTCCCATGATCGCATTTAAAATGATTACATTCACTGATCACATTATACAGGTTAATAAGTGTAACGTCGCTTAATTCATAAAAGAGTCTGTAACAAAATAGCACAGCGGCTGCACATGTGAGCAGTCTGGGTTAATGCTGATCAGTCTGGGTTATACTCTGGTAGTGGAGTGTCCGTGCGGGAGCCCCGTGCTGCTCGGCGTGCTGTTCCCGAAGGCGTTAAACGGGGTGTGATACGCCGGCTGCATGCCACTAAACGAAGTGGGGATCATAGAGATAGCGTTGGTCGTCATAAGCGGCACGTCGTCAGGCGAACGGCGTAGCGTTAAAGCGTAATCCGGCGGGCATGTCAAACGAATCATATCGTGACCCTGCAGAGAATCGCAATCATGATCGTGATCCATCTGCTTCATCTGAAGAGACATCAATTCTTCGCTGGGCACGCGGGGGATATCGTTAGCATGGTTTCTCGGAGGACTCAACCTGCGGCTTGACTCCAATCGGTGTTTATCTTTCTTATAGTAGAGCGCGGCGAACGCTAGGATGTTTAGAAACAGCAGAGATGCACCAACGGCGATTGTGACGCTCAATTCTGTTGAATAATCGCGCGCTTCGATTATAACCGTACCATCAGCGTGCTCTGACGTCTTCTGCTGGTCTGACATTTGCTTGGTGTTTGCTGGTGGAGCGGGCGGATGGCGGGTGGTGGACGGAAAGAGCTTATTGGATAAGCGTTTGGTGTAGGAGAACGGCGTCGTGTCTTGAGGAGGGATTTTGGTTGTTGAGGAGACGTACTGGAAAAGCTCGTTGATGTTGTGTAAGTGCGGCACTAGCTCCAGCCAGAAGGCGATTTTAGTGGCGCGGTAGTGATCCCGGACGCGTGGCTTTAGCCCGATGTGCAGGTATAGCTGGTCTTTAGGGTTGTATTTAGACCAGGCCACCTCTTCGAAGCGGTTGGGTTTGGTGTGGATGAACTTCGTGTCTTGGGGAACCGGTTGATTCGGGTCTCTGTAATGTAGAGTAGAAGATACAGGATTAGTGTTCAGATTAAGGATGTGCTGAAATAACAATTCTGGGCTGAATGCTAAACATTTGGATGGACTTGGACCAAAATACAAATTGAAGATGCTTGGTAAATGTTATTAAGTAATATTAGTATAGATGCACTGAATCTGAAACTCTGGGCCATAACTGAAACCGAATTTTCAAGGTTGCATTTGGTCAAAAATGAAACTGAAAATGCTTGGTAAAAGTTATTTATTAGTATTAAAAGTGCACCGAAAAGAACATTCTGGGCCGAAACTGAACCCAAAACATTTGGATGGGCAAAAATGAGCTCTACATGGGATACAGCAGAGACATTCATTCATTCATGTTCTTTTCAACTTAGTCTCTTTATTAATCTGGGGTTACCACAGCGGAATGAACCGCCAACTTATCCAGCATATGTTTTACGCAGCGGATGCTCTTCCAGCTGCAACCCATTACTGGGAAAACATCCATACACACTCAATCACACACATACACCATGGACAATTTAGCCTGCCCAATTCATCTATACTGCATGTCTTTGGACAGGAAACTGAAGCACTCGCCGGAAACCCACGAAAACACGGGGAGAACATGCAAACTCCACACAGAAACACCAACTGACCCAGCCGAGGCTTAAACCAGCAACCTTCTCGCTGTGAGGCTATCGTGCTACCCACTGTGCCACCGTGATGCCCATACTCACGTCAATATAGCATAATTACATCAGTAATTATATTAATTATTAACAAATAATATTTTTACATTACAGTGTTTGTAAAAAAGGTTTGGGTTTAGGGTTGGAGTAGGGGTAGACGATAATACACTGCAATTAATGCATAATTCTATCAATAATACACTTCTCGTTAACTTCTGATCACAGCTGTATCCCTTCTAGCAACAACCGTAGAAGAGATGCAAGCTGCTGGATTTCTGTCATGTTTATTTATCATTTTGTTCCGAAATACATGAAGGTAAGTAAATACTGTAATAACACAAACAGTGTGTATCTTACACATCAAAGCACATCATCTAATTATATTGAAAATAATTATTATTGCCTCTCCATAGATATCCGCGTGTATTTTAAAAACCTTAAATTATATATATAAATAAATAAATAAATAAATAAATAAGTAAATTCAGGGTTTCTGCTGATATCACAATGTCAAATTTAAGACATTTGAAGACCTTTTTAAGACCATTAAATTTAAACGAATGGCATGGCGCGAATGACACGAATTGCGCGAATGGCGCGGTCATATGGCGCAATACGCAAGAATGGCGCAGCGACAATTGAGCGTTTTGCGCGTTTGACGTGCTTAACGCGCGTTTCACGCGAATTGGTCAAGTTAAAAAATCTGAACTTCAGCAAACATTCGCGCCGTGTTAACCAATCTGGAGCTTGCTCTTGTGGAGGCGTGATTGTGACGTATCGCCTGTTGTTGGAGTCCCGAGGGAAACAGGGAAATAGGGAAAAAAAATTTTGTTCTTGCTCCGATTTCCTCTATTTGTGGACAAAACTGCTATAATATGATAAATAAATCATATCAAAAAGCACGAAAAGAAGAAGGAACAGTGTACTGAGAGCGCGCAAGAAAATTTGTGCGTGAGAAATGCGTATTTGAGAGTGAGAAAATTTGCGTGCGAGCAGCGTATTATATTTGAGAGCTCACATGCAAATTTTCTCACTCTTAAATATGCACTGCTCACGCACAAATTGTCTTGCGCGCTTTCAGTACACTGTTCCCTCTTCTTTTCATGCTTTTTGATATGATTTATATCAGTGCACTATTTATTACTAATAACCAAAATACTAAAATAGACTTACATATTACACTTTTAATATAATAAACCATTACATTTTTGGCTGTATGTTATATGATGAGATATTTCCCGTTTCAAACACTTAAAGACACAGAGAATAGTTTTAATTTAAAAACATTCCTTAAGCATCCAAAAGGTGCATCATACTAATAAAATAAAAATAAAATAATTTAAATTTAACTAATGCAAGCAGGGCGACGCAGTGGCGCAGTGGGTAGCACGTTCGTCTCACAGCAAGAAGGTCGCTGGTTCAAACCTCGGCTCAGTTGGCGTTTCTGTGTGGAGTTTGCATGTTCTCCCTGCCATCGCGTGCATTTTCTCCGGGTGCTCCGGTTTCCCCCACAGTCCAAAAACATGCGGTACAGGTGAATTGGGCAGGCTAAATTGTCCGCAGTGTATGAGTGTGTGTGTGTGTGTGAATGAGTGTATGTGAATGTTTCCCAGAGATGGGTTGTGGCTGGAAGGGCATCCGCTGTGTAAAAACTTGCTGGATAAGTTGGCAGTTCAATCCGCTGTGGCGACCCCAGATTAATAAAGGGACTAAGCCGACAAGAAAATAAATGATATGAATGAATATTGCAAGCAGAAATGTAAGTCTGATAGAAAATAGGGAAACACTTGATAAGGTATTATAGCCTACTGCACTATTCACTCTTCAAATAATAATAGTTTTTTTTTTTACAATATTGGGTATATTATTCTACAATTCACCACATTTTACTGTAGTAAAACTACACTGTATTTCATTTTATCAGTTCACTATTATTAATACTACAGTATGCAGTATTGCAATACTGTAGTATTAAGTATTGTAATACTACATTATGCAGTATTAATACTACAGTAAGCATCTCTGGAGAGCAAAAGCACGAAAGGAGGAGGAAACACAAGACACAAAAATTGTGAGTCTGCATCGTCTGACGGAGCGAGAGCAGATCATTCGCACGTGAGCAGCCAGTGTTTAGAGAGCTCGCGAGCAGATTTGTCCACGAACAGAGGAGGATTCGCTCTCTCGTATTACATGAATGCGCTCCCTACTTATAAAACTTTGCTTACGACATTTGTCAGTGAAATAACACCATACTCCACCAGCCGAAATCATGTGGCACACACCTATGCAAACACAGTGATGACGTGACATTCGCCGCGAGCACTGAGTCAATAACAGAAAGCTAATTGGCTATTGTAAGTTGACCTTACTTGTAGTTGTAATACCGCAAATTACAATTGGACTAGTGAAATAATGAACTATAAAACTCGAAAACCTAGCAACAACAACAAAAAAGAATGTAAATGAGCTTTAGATTTAGTATTACATGGACTTGGAAAAATAAGACCTGCGCAAAAAAAGACCTAGAACAGCGAATTTAAGACTTTTAAGGCCTTGAATTTCAATTTTAAAATTTGAGACTTTTTAAGACCTTTTAAGACCCCGCGGAAACCCTGTAAACTGTAAACATGCGCTCCAAATGCTGTAATCACACCGGTGTGATCGTATGCGTGAACGAATTAACAATGCACTGAAATTTAAATTCTTAGTGCATTCTGGACGTAACACATTAATTTCCATAAAAAGTAATGCAACTAGTTACTTTTCGGGGGAGTAACTCAATATTATAATGCAGTATATTAAGAAGTAACACTTTCACAACACTGGAAGCTGATTATTTTTTAAAGTAACCCCTAAAACACTGATGCTTCTCACCCAGTTTTGGCAAAGTTGGTCCAGTAGGTCATGACGACGGCGCTCAGCATGATGTCGTTCTTGGAGAAGTTGCAGTTGAACAGATCTGTGGGTCCGATCATGGGAATCCCGAACACATACGGCAGCTCGTCTCCATGTGACGAATCAGCCCACGCCGGCTTCATGTCGCTCTGGCAGTGGTGGTAAAATGCGTAGAAGTACGTGGGCGATCCATACTGTGCGTGTAAATCCGCTGTGGCCACAGCTGGCGCCACCCACTGGTGATCAGTAAACAGCGCCACCAGCGTTTTCCTCCTCATCTCGGGGTTTTCTCGATCCGCCCAATCCGTATACATGAACTTGATGGTTTCTCGAAGTGTATCCTTTCCTTCAGGATAGCCGTATAAATGATCGACAAACTCCGAAATGGCGAATTCAAAGTCGTTGCTGGTCACTCTATCCTCGCTGTCCAGAATCCCATCCACAAATTTATACCCCTCACCCTGGTTTACGCCCAACATAATATCGTAGTTCAGAAATTCGCCTTGCTCCATTAATATCTGTGGGTCATCGGGAATTACGTCTCCGTCGATTACGGGTCCGAAAGCGATGTGGTATTTGGCTGGCGTGATGTTCTGCTCGATTAGCTCTTTGTAGTTTTTGCTCTGGAGGCATTCGATCAGCTCCAGCGTGTCGTCTTCATTGCATCCCACTTTTTCGGCCAGCAGACGTGTGTATTTGGCCGGCTGGTAGTTCACCGCCCAGCTGGAGAGAGCCGTGCCGCTCTGGATGATCGCCTTCTGGAACAGATCTAGAACAAACACAAACACCCACTGTCAGAAAAAAAACATTTACATTTACAGTGCGTGAAATAAGTACTGAACACGGCACCATTTTTTTTGGAAAACATATTTTCTAAAGGTGTCGTTGACTTTAAATTGTCACCAGATGTTGGTGACACCCAAATAATTCCATATATGCAAAGGAAAACAAAAGTAATTAGTTTACAAATTATAAATTATGTGTAATAAAATGAAACACATGAAGAAAGTGAGGTGAAGTTTAGTAGTGAAAGCCCAGACAGCAGCTCAGTAATTTCTCAGTAGTTCTTCAGCAACCCTCTGCCCTTCCTCAGTGTAAATGAAGATCAGCTGCTTCAGTCCTACATCTACATCAGCAGGAGGATGAAGAAGAAACCAGGGTGGACATTTTAGCAAGACAATGATCTAAAACACAGCCAAGGAGACTCCCAGATGCTTTCAGAGAAAGAAAATCAAGCTGTAGAATGGCCCAGCTAATCACCTGATCCGAATCCAATAGAGAATATAGAATAAAGCTCAGATATGATGGACGAGACCCACAGAAGCATCAAGATTTGGACACTCTGTTGAATGTGAGAAACTCCCACCTGAGCACTGCAAGAGGCTTTATTCTCCATAAGAGGCGTCTCTAAGCTGCTGCACCAATAAAGACTTATATAGAGTATTAAATACATTGCAGTAGTTCAGCGCTTTCTCCTTGTGTCCTCCCAGTGTTTTTACATGTAACTCAATTTTCAGTTTTTTGTTTTGTTTTGTTTTGTTTTGTTAGGGTTTTATGTTTGTATTGTTTTTTTTTATAGAAATCTGTTTTAAGTCCATGTCAACAGCTCCTGTAGAAATATTACTTCCAGGAAAATCATGACATAGGGCTCTATCATACACCCGGCGCAGTGTGGCGCAAGGCGTGACGCAATTGTTGTTTGCTAGTTTCAGCTTGGTGCAAGAGTCGTTTTGACGTTTTCCGCCACGCTGTTTAAATGGCAAATGCATTTGCGCTCATATGTGTGCCCATAGGAGTTTTGGTCTAAAAAAAGAAGACGTTCTGAGGTGCACTGCTGGCGCGTTGCTATTTTGAGAAACTATAATAGATTTTTCAATAGACCAAAACCAACCCGGTCTATTGTCCAGTGCAGAGCGCGCTAGTTGTGCGCCTGGCTTACACACTGCCTAATACACACAAGATGTAGAGCAATACGCAAATATCTTTACATATGAAAAATAATTAAAATATTAAGGATATATATAGGATATAATAAGGATATATATAGGATGTAAATATAAAGGATTAAAATATTACAAAAATTATGATTTTCTAGTCTACATAAATATAAAAACCACTGCCTTCATGCCTTCTACATCTCGGGAGGCTTGTTCAGTTCATTCATGACAATTTGCTTTTGTATAATGTTATTATTATTAGCAGTATTATTTATTATATCCATATGACACTAATGTCCTATGCTAATGAGGGAGAGATGGGCACTAGTGGGCGGGGCTTTCCCCCTCTGATGACACATACAAAGGGAGAATGTCAATCAAACTGTGTCTGCAGACTGCTTTCATCAAGTCTGATTATAAACAAACACAATTAATTAATGTTTACCATCAGAGGCTGGAGATATTCACACACTACTGACATACAACTCGGTTTAAACCCTGCATAAAAGTCTTTTTTGCATAATAAGTGCCCTTAAAAAATCAAATAACTAAAAACTAGAACCTCAAATTTGTTGACAAATGTTCACTTAAGAAAAGTCGAACGAGCCAATAACCAGATCCCTACAATGTTCTGATGTAGAGATGTTGCTGTTTTTAAATGGTTAGCCTGTTGTATTGCTATAGGGACAGCTGACAGCTTATTAATGATAAATCAAAGCTTCTTGCCAATATGAGTACTATAAATCAACCACGATGTCTCTATAACAGTCTCTATGACAGTCAAACTCTGGACTTGAACTTTATGTAAAAATGGCTTGCCATATTTTATTGAAGATTTTATGCATGATAAGTGTGAAAGTGATTCATGAGTAAGAGAAAACAGAGTTTAAGTCAAAAATGGCTCGCCATATTTTAAGAAAAATAATGCTTAAAAATGATTTATTGGAAAACTTTAAGTCTGATAAACCTGAAAAGATACAACAGCGACAACTAACGCAGAATCAAATCAAATCAATTTTATTGTCACATAATCAGCAGCAAGTGTGATGCACAGTACAGATACAAATACAACAACAGTGCAAAATACAGACAGCATACAGAGTGTGCACCTCCAGAACACAGCTTTTGGCCACATTTGGGCCTCGTATAGTGTTTTTTTTTTATGAGCCTGCATTATTAAAATGTAATATTTAATACTTTTTAGTCACAAATGACAAGTCTTGAATGCAGAAGGCACACTTTGATCAAATCTGGGCCTTGTAGAATGAACGGCCTAGGAGGAGATCCGTTTGTTCCCCTTCGGTTGGGGAACTTCAGTGCCATGAATGAATGGGAGGATTCGGATCAGAAGCCGCTTATCTGGAGAGTATTGAACGGGCCAATGAATGAAATTAATTGGCAGCGTAAGCTTGCGCAGGTGTGCGACATCTGCAAACATCTCAGCATATAAGCACACCTGAAGCCAGCAGACGCCATCCTTTTCGCTTCAGATCCTTTCTGAGTGAGTCGATGAGGGTTCCTCTTGCTGATCAGCACTTCAGAGCGAACGAGTGTGTCTCCCGGTCCAGAGTGGGTCTTCGCGGTGGCAGACGGTCGAGCTGGGTTACTCCCTTGCCTGCGGTTCTTTGGGTCCGGTCCTCCAGAGCGGTGCGTATAGTTGCAACTTTCCTAAAAGAGCAACACAGTCGTGCAGCACGTCCTTTTCAGGATGGCGCTCCGACTGTGCGTTTCTGGATGCGGGGGTTTCCTGTCTCCGGATGATGGACACGATCACTGCATTGCATGTTTGGGGGTCCAGCATGTTAATGCGGTGCTCGCGGGCGGTTCATGTCGTCATTGCGATGCCATGACCGTTGCACAGCTAAGATCGCGGCTAACTTTCGCAAGAGAGCGAGCCACCCCAGTTGCCTCCTGTTCTAAAAAAGCAGCGGGCGCTCGGGCAGATCTGAGGGTTTCAGCGGGAGCTAATCCGCCGCCCACGGGCTCGCGGACCTATGGCTCCTCACGGCGCTCCATCCAAGCTTCGGGTGGTGAGAGTGATCCGTCTAACCAGATGGTAGCTCTCACACTCGCTGACACCGGAGATCAGATGTCCTCCGCGGCATCGGAGGGTGGGCTTTCACTGTCCGACGAAGATCCGGACCCACTCGCCCCCTCCGGGCAGGTGAGCGCTGTCAAATCGGATCCTGAAGCGGACATGTTAGCCGTGCTTTCCCGGGCTGCTTCGGCCGTGGGGTTGGAGATGGTTTATCCCCCAGCTCTGCGGCCGGACCGACTAGATGGGTGCTACGTAGAGGACCAGAAGGCGAAGCCTTCGAAGCCTCTCGTCCCTTTTTTCCGGGAAGGGCACAGTAGGGCTCACGCGTTCCTGGAGGGGCACCTTTCTCTGCCCGTGCTGCGAGTGCCTCCGCCCTCCTTGCCCTTGACGGCGGAGCTGCCAGGGGGTATGAGGCGATCCCGTCAGTGGAGCGCGCTATCGCGGTCAATCTTTGTCCGCGCGGCGCCTCTACGTGGCGGGGTTTGCCCCGCCTCCCGTCCAAAGCCTGTAGGTTGTCTGCCTCCCTCGGAGCCAGAGCTTATAAGGCTGCGGGCCAGGCTGCTTCTGCTTTGCACGCGATGGCCACCTACCAGCGCTACCAAGCGCAGGCGCTGGCCGAGCTGCACGAGGGCGGGTCCAACCCAAGCTTATTACATGAGCTGCGCACCGCGACCGACTATGCTCTTCGGACTACTAAGTCCGCCGCGTGTGCGCTGGGGAGGACGATGTCCACACTTGTGGTTCAGGAACGCCACCTCTGGCTAAACCTGGCCGATATGCGCGACGTTGACAAAGTTCGCTTTCTTGACTCGCCCATATCCCAGGCTGGCCTGTTCGGCGACACCGTCGGTGAATTCACCCAGGAATTCAAGGCGGTGAAAGAGCAGTCGGATGCGATGGGCAATGTCATCTATCGGCGTGGCCGTAAGCCCGCTCCGCCCGCCGAGCCATCCACCTCCGCTGTTCCTCGCCGAGGGCGCCTGCCAACGAGTGCTGCCCCGCCCCCGCCTGCGCCTCCGGCCAAGCGGGCGCGGCGTTCACCTCGAAAGCAGGCAGACCCTCCTGCCCAGGGCGCCGTTAAGTCCGGTAAATGGACCGCGAAGCGTCCCTGAGACAGGCCATCCGGAGAAGAGGAAACTTGCTCTTTCCCCGCTGGAGGGCGGGGCCCCGATAACAACGGTACTTTTCAGTGCCACCAAAACATCAGTAAAAGAGCACTTTTTCCCTTCCCCGGATGTGACTGCACGAGTTCTGCCAGTCCGGGACGCGCTGCCTTCCGGCTCGCAGACTCTACGTGCTTCGCCAGTGGCTCACGAGCGCTGGGGGGATGGTCTCCCTTCCCTCAGCCCTCCAGCCCCCTCTCCGGAGTCAGGGTGCGGAGCCAGAGCGAATCGCTCTCCTCCAGCTTTTCCGCGGGACCCTCGTGCTTCCCGGATCAGCACACCCACTCCGCGCTGCCCCACCGCTGGTACGTCAGCGATTGTAGCGATGACTCCATTAGCGAGGGCTCTGCCTGCCTGGTTAGCGCGGGCCAGCCCCTCGCGGTGGCTCATACGCACAATCAGACTCGGTTACGCGATTCAGTTCGCGAAACGGCCCCCCAAGTTTACGGGCGTGTATTTCTCCAGGGTCAACCCCCTGTCCGCCCCTGTCTTGCGAGAGGAGATTGCTGCCCTCCTGGCGAAGGGTGCAATCGAGCCGGTTCCTCCAGCCGAGATGGAGAGTGGGTTTTACAGCCCATACTTCATCGTACCCAAAAAGAGCGGTGGGTCACGGCCAATCCTAGATCTGCGCGTTTTGAACCGCTGTCTGCACAAGCTGCCGTTCAGAATGCTCACGCAGAGGCGCATTCTCCAATGCGTTCGTCCTCGGGATTGGTTTGCAGCCATAGACCTGAAGGACGCGTATTTCCATGTCTCCATTCTTCCACGCCACCGCCAATTTCTGCGGTTTGCGTTCGAGGGTCGAGCGTGGCAGTACAAGGTCCTCCCCTTCGGGCTCTCTC